TTGCTGAGAGAAAAGCTTCAACTGACTGTACAGTATGAGTACAGCGATTTGGTGCTCAGGCACTCAGGGAGACTGAACATTCGATATGCTAGGGCCCCAAAGAACCACGGGGCTGAGACTCACTGCCACAAAGGGTTTTGTTTGGAAGGTAGGCCACATCCTTAAGCTTGGCAAATCAATGGTTTATAACACGAAATAGCCTGTGGAATGGAGAGCTGTATTCTGGGAAGACATGATTCCCTGGGGAGAAAAGCTCTATGGGCGGATGAAACCAAGCAGGTCACTCAGGACGCTCCCATAATGCATTTGGGCAACTATGGCTCTTAATGGGACGCACTAAATGGCTAAAGTGCATGAGGAAATTTCACATACTCACGGAAGAGCTGTTAGTGTACCTCTTACTGCTGGACAACACGATATAAGATGGAATAAAACGCAATAAGATGTAATAACACAAGATGAGATGAGATAAGGAGATTAAGTTTAAGGGTAAGGACATAAATGTAAAGAATAACTGAAAGAATATGTGCAATTATATGTGCAAAAGAAATAGCGCTAGACTCTTACTGTACCAAAGATTTACATTTACCTTTCACACATTAAGTAGTCACTTTTGTCCAGAGTGAAATAAAAGTGAGGCAAGAAGCACAATTCAGGCATACAGTGTAGCTAGCAGTAATAGAGCAGGAACTACAGAATAACTAACAAAGCAAGAACCTAATAAGACTATAGAAGGACCAGAAGTGCAACATAAGAGCAATGAAATGAGGCACCAAGCGAATAGATGAACTGAGATGGGCAGCGGACGTGTTATGGCTGGGGTGGGGGTGACACATTGTAGCTGCCTGATGGCAGCACAGGGAACTGTGAGTTTGAGGGAAGTAAATAGATCGACTGCCTTGATATGAGGAGTTTGTTTTCTGGTCTGGTATGACACAGGTATTTTCACATCACATGGAAGTCGACACCTGCGCTCCCTTCCAGCATTCCAGCATACACCCACTAACGAACTGCATCCGCATTTCAGAAATTCATCATTTATATGTCAGATATGTACATTTGGCAATGTGCTGTGTTTCTTATGTGCCTGTTGGCCACCTGTATTCCCGATCACTTAAGCGACGTCCAAATGTTAGTACCGTTTCACCGTCATTTAACACGTCACGGTGTTTGTTAGTTTTGGACGAAACAGGGAAGGGTTTGAATTCCCCAGGAACACGCTTCAGGATGGACGCGACTGTCGGCTGTTTCTTGTTTGCACCCAGCACAAGCCTATCCAGATCACATTAAGGATGCCTTTGGAGAGCTGCCCTACTTACTGACGGGTGCATTCTGGCAGAACGGGCATGCCGGCCAATCAGAGCGCTCACTGATCACCGTGCTGGACGGGATCTGTGGCGTCTGCATACTTTGGGTTGGTGTGCTGCCGGATCAATAGAACCAAGATGAATTATTTAGTTTGAGTAAACAAATGAATGGTGAGTCACGGGTTTGCAATCTTGTCCGACTGAAGACCATCAAGTGCCTTTAACCAGTCAATAAACCATAAAGTGTACTGCTGTGCTTTTGACGATGCAACCCCCTTCCCCCCAAATCTCTACAAGAACGTAGAAATTAAACATGTTAAAAGCAGCATGACTAATGAAAGCATGATTTTTGGAGGAACCATGTCTGAACATGGGGAGAACTTGGAGCTGTGAAGCCACCACGATTTCCACACCGCCTTACCTGCGTCTCTATCCATTACAATTTCAAAAGTTGTGCAAAGTTCAGACGGCCTGATGAAGTGAAATAATTCTGCTTTTGGAGACAGATTCTCCACCACCTGCCTGCCTTGGAGTTGTCATGCTTCCTCACCCTGTGTGCATCAGGAATAACTCATGTCATCCTCACTGACATCCGTCTGCACTCTCCTGAGCGGACGGACTATGTAGATTGTTCTGGAAGCTCCTATGATCTTAATGCCAACAGGTTCGAGATCATTTATGAAAATGTATCTACCAGACTGATTTGTTACAGACCAATTAGGATGAAACTGATGAGCTAGATGTATAGCAATTTAATACACTGACTTTGTTTTTATAGAATTGCGATAATATTATAAATATCATTAATATGTCACTTATTTACAATTATGGCTATAACATTGAAAGAAACAGTTGCAAGAAAAAGCTTTTTTTCTGGACATTTTGAAGGATATTTAATATAGTCTCTATTGACAGATGCGATAAGATAGAGAGAAACATGGCTTATACATAGATACATACTGAAGTCGGGTACAGTGGTTAGATGTAAATGATGTTCAGTGGTGAATGAGCAGATTTTTGCCATACAAATGTTCACGAGACAAAAAAAAAATCAGCACGGCTTACGAAAACGCTCCCCGTCTCCCCCGATTCTGCATGCTGGTCTGCTGCATCTGCCCATTCTGCTGAACTAGGCTTGGCCAGGTCTTTCCTGAACTTCTCAGCAGGACATTAGCGTAGCCAGTGCTATATCTCTGCAGGGCATAGACAGCTGCTGCTGATGCTAGGTCGATACCCTTTGAGGGAACGGCAGGAGGAAGGTTTTTTACCACTAAGAACTGTTTATGAACGTCTCAGCAAAACCGGTGCACAGAAATGGTCCTAAACAAATCGTTAGCAATATTTCAGAACAAGCACAATCATTTACCTAACCTCTGATTTACCTAATCATGGGATCTGAACCTGCAACCCTAGCGGTGCGTAGCCACTACACCACCACAAACATAACGCGTCAGAGATCAATAATCACCGATTACAAGGTCATACAGTGTAGTCACATGACATGCTACTGTATATTCCTATATGCTGGCCACAGTATTAGTCTGTAAATGCTTCTGCGTGACTGTGAAGGACACTACTTACATGCAGTTTATAGTACCCAGATATACACTGTAGTTTTTGCAAGCTGTAATCTTTAACAACATACAATAAAGTTAATTCCACAGAGCAAACCATCATATTCTCATGAAGCTTAGTCATGACTGACAATTCCACAAGGGCTGACATCAGAATTTGTCCCAGATCTGAACCACTACAGTTAGCTTCCGTTTTTATAAGTGCAGATTACGTGTCACTGTGTCTGTATTATGAGCAGTCTGTCCATTCGTGAAGGAAATTTAGGTAGTGGCTGCTTCTCGAACTTTGTGAAGACGCGGTGTGTCATTTCTGCGGGATGAGCAGCACTGGGGTTGGCAGAGCAGCCATAGAACATTCCAGAATACGGCAGTATAGCAATGCGTTTATAAATAGAAGCCCCCCCCCCCCCCGTGGTGGCTCACTATGCACAGGGTCGGCTTTGTACACGAGTGCACTTAATGCAGCTGGAGAGCAGAGACGCCCTGGTGTGACAGAGGCTCTTAGAATAGTGTTCCCCAATCCTTTCCTCGGGGACCCACAGACAGCCTGCCTTAGAAGGATGGGGTCTCCCCCTCTTCTGACACCATGTCTGTATACAACACGTGAGATGAAATGAAGGCTTTATTGGCCACATGTGCAAGAACAGTTACATTAGAATGCATTGTTTAGCATATATCATCTTGTTCAAGGGCTCAGCGGTAATATTGCTATTCTGCTGAGCATGGGATTTAAACCAGCAACCTTCTGATCACAGGCACAGAGGCCTAACCTACTGAGCCACACACTGCCCCCTGTGGCAGCCAGTGATACCTGGTGCTGAGCTGCTTTGTCTGCTAACACCAATCACATACTGGCTTTGTAAATGTTGATTAGTTTCAAACAGATACATGTGGATGCCGTCGTATGAGCGCTGCAAAAATATCAAGGCTTAATGAACCTCTGACTGGATGGCCAACAGTAGGTAAATACTTTGACCATAGTGTCACACAGAGAGGTTTCACAGGCAAGATGTGGTCCCTCATTCCCTCTCGTGATGCTGTTCTTCATTGAAAGACTGGTCTGACAGCAGCATGGAGTGACACATCTCTACCTGTAGCCATGGAAACAAGCAAGACTTAAGTGTGTACGGCTGCGCTTTGCTGGGGGACATTCTGCAGGATCTGTGCTTGCTTCTCTGATTTGCACGAAGAAGCTAGATCATGGTCATCTGATGGCAATTTGGACATTTGCACAGAAGACAGATTAGGTTCCATGTGACAGATTATTTTGAGAACATCATTCAGGCAGCAGGCAGGGGATTTTATATCACAGAGATCTCCTTTCATGAATCCGTCTTATTCCCATAACTGTTTATTCAGCTGGAGCCAGAATGGTCCTCCGCCAGCTCTGGTGAGGTGTGTGTGTGTGGTATGATACACGGTCCTTCTAGATGGGAAAGCACCTGGGCAGGTCTTCCAGAAGAATTTCACTGAAGTTTAATACTTCATTCTCTAGTTGTTTATGCTAAATCCAACAGACAATTTGGGTCTCATAAGAAACATAATGATCTCTGTATTGTTGCCTGACATGAGCCTCTTTGCAGGTGACATTTCATACATTTTAAGCACAGAAAATTAAGCATGTGCTGAGAGGTAGCACTTTACTCACTACTCAAGAGCAAATCATGAACTTAGTTCCTGCATGAAACACATTAAGCATCATAATTCATGATGAACAAACATAGGATCAGTACATAAGTAATGCTTAGTTACTGGTTAATTAATGTATCAAGCATTAATTTACTACATTTACTACATTATTAACTACATTACATTATTTGTGCTCGCAAATGAAGTGAGATCAGAAGATTAATGACTGTCAGGAGACACATTTGATTATCCACTGGCTTCAGCAACTTTTTATAATTTCTTTGGGAAACAAGGGTCCAGCTCTTTGTTAATGTTACCTGTGAACATATTTCCTTTGGTTGCTGTCCAGTGGATGTTAAGTTGAAGATCATGAGTTTAGTACCATTTAACATGGAGTTCTCTTTGTTTGGTTATGAATGAAAGGAAATTCACACACATTTAATCTCAGGAACATGGTAATATTTGTTGTTAAATAATGAAGATCCAGAAATTGATTAATAGTTTTTTTTTATTTTCCTTGACTTTTAGTTTAAAATGTAGTTTAAAATTTTTGACTAATGCCAAGGCCCAGGAAAATAATTCTTTTTTATACAATTTTCCTTTCTTAAGTAAAAACTCTGAGAACCCTTTATCATACAATGAAAAAGGACACCACATTTTGAGCCAAAAAGACAGATGATAAAGCACAGGTCCAGTCCAAGTAATTGAAGTGAAACCTTACCTCTACAATTATGCAGATGTTTTACAATTATTTGTAAATGCTTTTAGCAGTTTTATATGCCCAAAATAAAGCTTCCACTACACCTACAAAACTCACTTATGAAATGCATGAGGTTCTCTTTAAAAACAATTCTTGAACACAATAAAAACAAGACACAAAAAGAGATTCTTGGAAGCTAAATTTTTTTCTAACCACTAAGGCCATGCCATTTACTGAACCCTGTGAAGGTATCAGCTTCCGGTGATACTCTGGTGATACTCTGGTTTCCGTGGAAACGCTCCTTTGTGAAGTCACAAGGCAGCGACTGCAGCCATTACTGATTATGCCAGAGAGAGGCGCTGGCAGCCAGGCTCTAGGGGCAGGTAATTGCTTTCAGTGCTTGTGAAGCAAGTAATAGGAGCTTACAGGGGGGTTGGCAGCTGGGGTGGGTGGGGTTCGGTTCTCTTAATTTAAATGAAGAACATAATTACCACAGAAACAGCATATGGTACTAGCACAGATGTGTTTACACAGCACACACAGAGAGAAGCTTCATTTAAAGAGACGACGCGCCATCTCTCTCCCAACAATTACTGGCACTCCAAGACAAAGCAGGCCACTTAATTATGGGAGGCAGATGGGGACCCAGGATATGTGGGGGGGGGGGCTTATTTCTTGGTCTCCACCGCAGGCTTGGTCTGGCTTTCCAGATTCACCGGGATGTTGATCTCAGTTGCCTGGATGGCCGGCTTGGGTAGGGAAGCCTCTACTGTGAGCACGCCCTCCGGGGACAGGAAGGACGTCACCTTCTCTACGTCTGCACCCGGTGGGAGCCTAAGGGGCACAGGGGGCTCAGTTTGGGGGAGACAGAGTCGGGACACACGCCCCCACCTTCAATGGATTTTCATGGATTCATAATCATAAAACCGAACAGATATTTTGAGTGTCTGGGATTCATACCCGTATTTATGTGAAGACCAGCCCTTCAAAAGTGGCTGCTCCAATGCTCGTGGGAAATAACCAATTAAATTCAAGGAGGCAAGGCCAAGAAATCTGATTGGCTGGTCCTGTCTCCTCTAGTGATTTGGACCCACCTCCTCTACAATCTGATTGGTTATCTCTCTGAACCAATGACTTTGTGTTCTGCCCTCAGAACATTTTTATGTAAGTATAAGTCTCATGAGTAAGAATGCATTTCACTAAACTGTGCACCCCTGGAAGGGGCATTCAGTCCCGCAAAAGATGCACTAAAAGACTAAATCTGACATTATCATTTTTCATTCTGCCCTCAGAACATTTTTGTGTAAGTAAAACTCCCCTGGGCTGCTTCAATCATCAGGGACAATAAACGTGGCTGAAGCAGGTGTGGGGTTTTAAAATGTCCCTCTTGGGCATGTGACATATCAAGCACTGAAGAACATTCTGGACTTTTAATAAAGATTGTCACCATCATTCAACAATCACCCTGAGAAGATGATAATGGTGTCATTTACAGAGCACTGAGCTTTGTAGTTACCCCTAATGACTGAGGGTGACTCTCGACTGCCACTTCAAACATGCTCTGTATTCCCCCGCATCCGTGCATCATGTGTGTAACTCACGTGTACTTCCTGGTGAAACAGCGTGACACATAGCCATGCTCATCCCTCCTCTCCTCATGTTTCCCTGTGAACAGACGAGTAATTTCAGCTTTTTACAGATGTGCGCCTTTTGAAATCTATCACTGATGCGTACTTATAAACAATTTACCTGTTCCAAATTGCATTTCTCATCTTACAGACATGTTAGGTCTGAATACGACAGGGAACAATACAATTAAAACTCTCAGATGACCAAAAACTAAAAGTTGATCATTTGGTTAATAGTTTTCTTGTTTTGCAGCCCTGCACCCCACCATGTGTGGTCACTGTTTGTGGTCGGGGGGGGGGGGCAAACAACAGAGACCCCATGCAAACACATGGTTTGACTGGTAGCAAACAACCAGGTTGTCTCTATTTTTGGGGGGGGGTTGTTAGGGTTAGGGTTAGGGTTGGGGGGGCACTCAAAATGTCACTCTCCACCCCTCCAAATGTTTCAGAAAGTAAATATTAGCTAGATAGTAGAGATGATTGTCGCTATCTACCTGGTTAGCAGAACAGCCTGCTTCATCATCTCCTAAATAATTTATTTAATATTTACTGTAGTGACTGTTTCTGGCCAACAGGGGGCCTCATTGGCCACAATATAAATGCAAGGTAAACACTGCCGCCGCTGCCCCCCAAGAGCGGCTGAAGAAGAGCACACTGCTGGGTGTGAGGCTGGCTCAGTGGGGGCTCCTGGGTGCAGAGCCGCATTCCAAATCTACTCGTTGCCCTTAAAGTGCCGGAGAGTACGTTTGAGCAGCTTATCACACTTCTCACAATACATGATCTCACTCTCACGATCGGGGGAGGGCAGGATTCGGCAGCGACCATTCACCAGGGTGTCAAACCTCGCTCAAAATCACCAAGAAGACTTTTCATGACTTTCCATAACATTAAACCCCAAAAAGCAACTTTTTTAAATATATTCTGTATTAAAATGTAAACACTCTGCTGCAGACCGTTCTAAGCTGTATCTATGGCAAGGAATAGCATTCCGGGACTCGGGAGGGGCCGTACCGGTAATCTCAACGACGTTGTCCTTGGTCTTCACCACCAGCTCCTCGGGGGCAAAGTGGTTGACATCCAGGCTGACCTTCCACTGGTCCTGGGTCTGCTTGATCTCCGACATGCCGCTGCTGAGCTGCCGTGTCAAGGCACGGGTGTAGAGGGGGGCCGGTGATGGGGAGAAGTGAGCTGGGGACGTGGCCTCGGCTGTGGGGCACGGGCCCCGGATGTAGCCAGGCCAGTAGCTGCTGGGCCAGTGCTGCCACTCCTCTGGGAAGATGGGCATACCAAAGGACTGGTCAAAGAGACGGCTCCCCTGGTACCAGTCCCGGAAGGGGTCCCAGCTGGGGAGGCGCGAGAAGGTGAAAGGTATTCTCCTCTCAGCCATAGTCTAGGGAGAAGGTTCCAGATGCAGTCTTGGTCAACGGCAAAGAGCTTATCCCTGCTGTGCTTTCCCAGTCTTATAAAGCTCTCCAGCCCCCTGCTAGATATATATAGAATGATCGAGAAGGTCTATTTGTGGGCGGTATTCCACTGGAATGGAATTCAAGCCAAAGGACAAGCCCAGTGACTTCACACTGGCCCAACCCCCTGAAGGACTCTTACGTGCCATAATCCTCAGAGAAAGGGAGTAGTGAGTGCCTTGGGGAAGACATCACTGCATAAATATGTTTCAGACTTTTTAAGGGTTGGGGAGTCTTTTTAAATGATAAGCATTAAATCGTTAAATTTCTCACATATTAACTACTGTTACATATCGTACATCTTCACCATTCTGGAAATCCTCAGCCCTGATGATTATTGCCATTGTGTGACTAGCACACAATAAGCAAGCAGAAGTTTTTGGGATTTTAGCTTCAGGTACAACTTCTCATTCACGCTCAATTTAGAAATTGAATTCTTTGAATTCAGAAAAAACTGAAACCAGCTGTAAAACAGGCATGGCTTCTATCGGTTTGGTTAAGGGACTGGGGCAGCTTCCTTGAGGAGTGTGGTTTAGGGATCCAAGTCAATATTACCATACAATTTGGTTTAGGGATCAGGCCAGTATTATTGTTCAATTTAATAATTGATACTTTATTGACCCCCCCAAGGAGAAAATCTCTTTACACCTCCTCCGACTTGCTCTTTGTAGAGTAAGCTGTCCGTGAAGAGCAGCCACCTGTTGCAGCACCCAGGGAACTGGGGGTTAAGGGCCTTGCTCAAGGGCCCACAGACATACCAGAGCAGGGCTTGAACTGGTAACCTTCTGATCGCAGGAACAGAGACTCTGCCCACTGAGTCACATGCTGCATGGTTTAGGGACTGGGGCAGTATTAGTGTCCAATTTTTTTCCCTCCATTAGAATTGTCTTCTGCTTGACTCAAAAAAAGGTGTCAGAGAGCAGACATTACACAGCTTTCACTGTGTTCATTTGCAGGCCCCATTTAACAGCAGTGATGTGAATCTCTTAGCATGTGCTTGCTAATCCAGTCGCAGCACTTAGCCATCAGTCAAAAGTCACCATGGGGCAATATGTTTTTTTTGGCATGGTGTTGCTCTATGAATTATCCCATTACTGAATCAGTCCATTATTAAATATTGTTTTCAGTTGATGTACTCTTTTTGCCTTGGTAAAAGGAATTGTTCTGGCACATAAGATGACCAGACATCATTAAACATCTGTTATTTACTGAAATAATCACTATACGTTACATTAATATTAGCTAATAGTAAAGTGAAATAAATGAAGGTATTCTGATACTGTATAATGTAACTAATTAAACTGTCATTGTCTGATGGGAACTATAAAATCACACCAAAAACACACTTAGTTACAATGGTTGTATAGTATCTTTGTGATTTTTTTTTTTAAAGCTTCAGGGTTTAGTTTTTAATCAAACTATTGTTGGAATTCATTTGAGTCAGCCTCATATTTTTAACATTAGATCAATATACCCACCCATTTCCACTCAGTGTATGATAATGATTTTCACATGAAGCCAAGAAAAGTATGACACCTCAAAGCTCAGAGCAGCGATGTTACCAGAACATTCTACCATCAGGATGCACGTTAGCGCCATCTGTCGCCAGCTATTTTGTACTTCCTACTTTATTCATATTATATTGCTCTGTTTGTTTACGGTCCGACAATATAGCTTGCTGTTTTTTAATACCTATTTAATTTAAATAATATATCACTGATGCTTTGTGCTGTTCATGCTTTTCATTTCGGTTCCCTTTAACATTCGTAACATGACCACAAGGTAATTATATTTCTTGTTAGATCGGTTCAGCCATATGAAACAGCGAAGGTGTTCATCCATTTGTGAATTGCTGGTAATTCTCCAATTGGTGCAGCTTTATTTGCATTACAGTGGCGTGAATTAAGCCTCGCTGCCAGACAACAGTACTGTTAAAATAAACACGTCAGGCTCCATTAGCGTATATACTTTATTGTTCTGCATGATAACTAGCGCACAACAACTACCGACTTTATACAATCCAAAGGTGAAAGCTGTTATAATATATTACTCAACATCTGTTATTCGTAGAACTCGAGTTACGTTTCAAATGTAACACTCACGGGGCGAAGGAGACCGATAAATAATTAGGAAGACTGCAGGTTCCCTGATTGCACCACCAGCGTTAAAATAAATTAGAAAAGCAACAGTTCCCAGAAATAAAACAAAAAGGTTTCGCCTGTACAAGCGCGTTTGGTTTCTGTACAAAAAAGGGACACCTAAGAACCGCGGGCGCGCGCGGACAGACGGCGAAGCGCGGGTATGAATCCGGCCGCCTTTGTTATGCTGCCAAAGCTGGAAAACGACCGGAAACGTTTCAAGTAAACTGTCAACCTATTAAAATCCGTTTTTCTTTTCTTCCTTAATCTCTCTTCCTCATCATTACAAAACTGTAGTTTGCGGCAGAAAACATTTAAAAACATTTAAAGTTCTTTTACAAACCCTCCAGGTGAATGGATAAAGACTGATTATCTGACAGACAAACATTTAATTTAATTATTGAATAAATTAATAAATACCTTAATAAATATAAATAAATAAATTAACAAATAAACACATGATTACAATCCATGTCGACGCGGATACAAAACATACTTCATCCTGCTTTGGTGTCTTTGGGCCGCTCTGGTCGCAGACACTTTGACAGATGATGATCTGGACAGAACAACACTGGATTTCAGGATGAAAGTGGTTTTACACATGACCTCAAAAAAGAAAAAAAAATCTGTTAGAGAGCTGAGAGAGGGCATCCCTCTGGAACAGGTTGGGGAGAGTTCTGCTGCATGCTCGAGATCCACAGACTCAAAGGAAAACCCGAAATAACACAGTAAATAACATGGTAAATAACATGGTATGTACAGTGCATAGTTTACAGCCAGCGCAAAGCGTTCAGATGCCAGGAGGTGCCGCGCCTTGCTCTACATGGCATATTGTATAAAATGCAATCGGCCGATGCGGCAAATGCCTCCATCTCGTTCATGTTCTTGTTTCTGAATCATCAAAAAGAAACAAACAATAAAAAACAAAGATGGTGGAATGGTCAGCGTTTTTGTTTGCAGCTTTTTCATCCTTTTCAGTGATGCGACATGGAAGTTTCCATAATCATGTTGTAATCCTTTTTTTTATTTTTTTTTGGTAATTTTTGCAATTTTGGAAGCATTCTGGGTGAAAGTGCTGCACTTTTTGAACTTCATCTCCAAGTCTGGTCTGTTGCATGACTTGTTCATACTGCTTGCGTATTTGTTGTTGTTTTCCCTAGAACCTCTAGCTTTTGATCACGGCTTTACCACCAAAAAGGACCTGCGGCGAAAGGCCCCGACGCATCGTGCGACGTCTGCGCTCACTGAGGGGGCCGGTCACTGGCAGCGCTGTGTAACAGCTTCAGGCGCCACCGAACGGGGGAGCTACGATTCCCACTGTGAGCCTTGAGTTTCATCTGTTTCTTGAACTGTCCCAACCAGATTACAGGGCCTTTTGAAAAAGGAAATACATAAAAGCACAAAGATTAAGCCATGGATCTCGCTGACTATCTCAGTGACCTGCTGAACCGCAGACAGCAGATCGCAAAAAATATATGATCAAGTGCTGAAATCAGCACACTGACTCCGGGTGATTCAGTATTAATGTCTAGATGCATTTTCTCCCCATATGTTAATCCGATCACTCATACGGTCTCTAAAAATATTGGTGGTGAACTACAAAGCTGGACTATGCTCCAAGGATGTGGATTTTGGGACGAGGGGGTTGCGCATTGTAAGGCGGGAGTGGGGAGCACGTGTGGCCGAGCCCCGAGACGCTGCAGCTGGACCGGCCCAGAGGGTGGCTAGAGTGTCACGGCCCAATCAGAACCCGGCACTCTCCGAGCTGCTCCTGCTGTAGTAGCTGTGGCTGCGACTCCTGCTCCGGCTGTAGCTGCTGTAGACCCTGTAGCTGCGACTGGAGGCGGATGCGCTGCTCGGGTAGCTGGAGGACGACGGGCTGGGCCTGTAGTATGGGATCGGACGCTTCCGGGCGCTGCGGGTGGGGAGACCAAGATGGAATCAATGCCCCGCCCTCACAGGTGATGCACGGTCTGCTCCCACTGCTTTGATGACCCCATATGGCCGTTTCCTGCTTCGGGGGCAAGCGGGCACATTCTAGTCTAGATCCAGTTCTGAAAAGGACCCTTCCGATGTAGGAGACCCCGAGATCATCAAAGCAGGGGACTTGAGTTGCAGGTTCGAAGGTGCTCTGATTAGTGGCTGCTGTGAAGTTAGGACACTTGCTGCAAAGGGGGGGGGAGGTTAGTACTGTTGGTTCACACCCACTCTGCAGATGAAGCGGATTATACTGAAGCTGGCCCCCCGAGCACTGGCCAGGAAGGAGCCCCGGCCGGCAGCTGGTGAGTGTGCACTTGTTAGCAGAGAACGTGGACAGAGACCAGAAGCCACCCAAAGAAAGTCCCCAAGTTAGTGTGAAAGACACCAGTTGGAAGTTGACATAAGCGCTGTCAGGACGCCGCGATGGCTCTCATGCCCCGCATGTGGCGCCTGCTGCCTCCTCAGAGAAGCAATTTGGGCCTTTTCGTGAAAAATGAAATAAGACTTTATGTTAGGACCCATGCGGGCCTGCTCTCAGGATGAATGCAGCTCGTGGGAGTATTACTTACACAAAAATGTTCTGTGGAGAGAACAAAAAATGATTGGTTCAGAGAAATAACCAGTCAAAATTGTAGAGGAAGTAGGTCCAAGCGGCTATTGATTTGTTGATCCCACCTACTCAAGTTGCTCGGACCCACCTCCTCTACAATCTGATTGGTTATTTCTCTGAACCAATCATTTTTTGTTCTGCCCTCAGAACATTTTTGTGTAAGTATAACTCCCATGAGTAAGAATGCATTTCACTAAACTGTGCACCCCTGGAAGGGGCATTCAGTCCCACAGTGTTACAAGATGCATCAAAAGACTAAATCTGACATTAATCTGACATTAATCTAAATCAGGTGTTCTCGGGGCTTGCCAATTGGTTTGCATATGTTAAACACTGAAAAATACTGCCTCCTACAGGCACAAGAAAAAACGTGGCTTGACAGCGGATACGTCAAAATCAGCACCTTATGCAGCATTAGTGGAGTTCTGCACAGTGGGTCTACCGGAGTCATGAATTTGGAACCAGTAATTTCGAGACAACAGAGTAAACATGTAAGAGGTAGCTGGAGTACTCAGGAGATGCAGTCTGCAAATAGCCGTCCGGCATTGCAGCATCAGGAGGAGAGAACTGCTGCACGACAACTGTTACCACGGTAACCTTGCCTGGCAGCCCGGCAGCACTCCTCTGTCTGTGGTCCTCAGGGAACCTTAATACAGGATTGGGAAAGACTGTCATATGTAGAAATATAAGACAAGACCCTCTGCTCACCTGGGCACCATGGAAACTGTCAAGACTGTGAAGAGTGTGGAGACCCACAACAAGCCTCCAATCAATTACAATTAATGACTTACAAGCAACGTGCACAGAAGCAATACACTGTTCATTTTTAGGGCTGGGTTTCATGTATCAAAAAATCACAATAATAATCTTAATAAACGTCATCATCTTCACAATCATTATCGATGATAATCCTTAAGGGAGCCTGCCAAATTTGCCTTCATCTTTAGGGGTTATCACTCTGCAGGTTGCTTTCAAACTGGTTTTACCCAGAAAGAGAGAGAGAATCAACACTCTCCCGTAGATGTCAGTGTTACACTATGTTACAGCTGAGGCTGAGCTTAGAGCCACAGTGCATGGGGCCGCTATTTATCCTGGGTCTTATGGAAGATCTGGGTCTTATGGTACAATACTTCATGGGCACCACATAACCGGCACTAGATTCACCCCGAAATGGGCAAATTAGCTGCAAATAAAATGGCTGCGCATGATTTAAAAAAACAAAGAATTTTTTCTGCTAAGCACCTTTGCAGGAATGACTGACGGAAACCGCTGCACGAGCGGTTTATCAAAAAGAAACATCTGGTAGCATCACGAATATCATGTTGGAGGACAGTGCGTCCTCGGCGTGCTTCTGCCAAAAGAGCAGCATTTTGGACACAGCGTGATTCACACGGCTGGATCCGCGCGGTGACTGCGATTCTCGATCACCGTCCAAGCACCTGAACTGAACCTGTCAACGGAAAGGAAGCGGCGGTGACGCCCCCTAGGGGCCGGTGAGCCCGAAGCCAGCTCCCCCTCTTTACCTGGTGATCCTCCTGGCCTCCATGAAGCTGGGGGAGTCACGCCTCCGCTTGCGGATGGGTGAGTAGGTGCGCGAGCGGCGCCGGGCCCTGCCCTCCGTGTCCGTGGGTGGGGCGCTGTCTTTATCCCTGATAAGAGAGAGAAACAGAACCTGATGGGCGGGGCTCTCGCAGGAATGCTGAGCAGGGAGGAGCCACTCGTACCGCCAGGTGCTGAGTAATGTAAACGCGGGGTAAGAACAGACTGCTTCTTTTTCTAACTCCAGCCTAAGCCTGCCAGGCATCCAGGTGCTACCACAGTGTAACCCTGAGGTGGCAGCTATGTCCTGCCCAGGTTCCAGTCAGGCATTTCCCAGGTGGGTACTGGAAGCACGCAGAGGATATAAAGTGACCCAGTTATCTGGTCCGATTTGGTCCTGGTGGTCGTGTGTCACTAGAAGGACACACACTAGATCAAACACACAGACCTTTTTTAACAGTTCCATCCTGAACAGCTGCATAACGGCAGAGACCAGCACAGTGGCATGAAGGACACGCCACCTTAAAAGGAGGCTGCTGAGCTTGGCCACAAGGGGGTGACCGTACCGGGAGTTGTTCTGCCGGGAGTAGGGAGATTTGGCCTTGCTGCCGTGCTCCGGGGAGCGGGAACGCGAGGCGGAGCGCGAGCATGAGGCGGAGCGGGCACTGCTCCAGGAGCTGCTGCGCTGCCGGAAGATGCGCGAAGAGCTTTTCTTCCGGGCGGCGCCGTGCCGCCGGTGTCGCCCAGGCGACGCCGAGGAGCTCCTGTGGCGGGCGCGGGGTCGGCTCCGCCGGCGTCTCCGGGACAAATGCACGCCTCGTGCCCTGCGGAAAGAGAAGTTGCAGAAAGAACGGCTGGTGGAATTCGGGGAGATAACTGAAAAGGATGGAAGCCCAGGCTATGACCTTGCAGAGGAAGAAAGTGAGGATGACAAGCGTGCCCAGATACGTTTATTTGCTGTTAAAGCTTTCAGTAACACCTTACTTACGGCCCTTTTTACCTTTTAGTAATTTATAAACACATTCATAACAAATAATAATGCATTCATAAAGCATAACATAGCCATGTGTATCATGCATCACGAATGCTTTATGAAGTGCTCATGCACTATAGATACCTTTATAATGCATTATAATGGTCGGATTAAGCATTAAGGATGCTTTGTACTGCATTATGAAGGTATCTATAGTGCATTATAGATGAAAGCTTCATAAGGCAGTCATAATGCATAAAAATCATGGTTGTAATGCGTTATGTCTTTTAATAAATATTTATAGCCATGCTTTATGAATGTGTTACAATGCATTATAAATGTGTTTATAAATGACTAAAAACATTACCTTAAATGTTACTGAGCTTTCTATGGGGCTTGAGGTTTTTTGTTTTGGCCTGACGACTCCATGCCTCACCTTGGAAATGGTGCCGAATCAGGGGTACAGTACTAGTCAAAAAAATGTTTGTCATCTTCCTGTTCCCGTCCGATAAAGCCAAGTATTTTTTGACTTGACCATTACCCCACCTTGTTTAACTGATCAGTACATCATTGAGTTATTTAGCTAATTAAGTCAATTAATTACATGAGCTGGTAGTGAAATTTTACATGGAATGGCTGAGGTGCCCCTGAAGAGAGGTTTGGGAACCAAAATAGATGTTCCTAACCATCCAAGACATCAATGAGCTTTTGACTCAAGAACAGAAGAAATTCCTGTTAATTTTTTATTGTGTTAATTTGCACACATTGCACACTTAATTTTAAAATGTAGTTTTTCAAAGCAAAATTAACTTGCCCCAGATAAATAGGCTTAAGCATTTCCCTGGGCTACTTAAGTCTTTTGCACTGTACTGTGAATGACTGGGCCAGATACTTTACTCTGTTTAAACTGCTCCGTTACATCAGTTTTGTGTTTTTTAATGTTTTGTTTCTGCATGGCAGAGTAGACTGGTCCAAAAACATATGAAAAAAATCTTTCCCTCCCACCCCCCACCCCCCATTTGATACTATCATTACAGAAATGTACTGTAAAAGCGTCATTCATTATCAGTCACTTTTCAGCACTGGTAAGATGGCCAAACACTGAGCACGAACATTGTTTTTGTTTCACAGTCATGGCAACTGCAACACACAGTAAAACTATAGTTTGTCTGCTTGGCTCAAGCAAAGAAGCTGTCTGTGGCTCAAAGTTACCCTCCGGTGATGTGAACAGTACACTTTCATACTCAGTCAATCAGTCAGTCATACTGACCACAGTTCCACAGTGGTGTGAGTAATTAAATGGTTTTGTTGTATCTGTTGTTTCTGTCAGGATATGAGTATACCATGAGTAATGACAGTTATCAGCCACAGAGGGCAATAATCGCTTACCGTATATGAAAAACTTTGTTTGCATTGAGCATAGCCTAACTATTGAGTAATTTTGAGTTTTTCCCATATTGTTAATTCTCGTGGTAGATCAAAGTAATAGGTGGGAGGCTGACTTTTTGAAAGTCAGAAATTTTGGACAATCCTAATGACAGAGGGAGGGCTCCTTCGTGCATTTGACCCGCATCAAATATCTAATGAAGTTCTGTTTTGTCCATCCACCCCTGACCCCTCCCCCCTCTACACACACACAGACACACACACACACACACACAAACACACACACACACACACACAGGTTTGTAATATGTAACCAAACAAAATATGAAACTTTTGACATTTCTACTTTTTTGTTTGCATTAACAGATCTTTGTGGGGTCATTTGGTCCCCACAATGTCCATATAAACACAATCCACACATACACAATCACACACACACACACAGCTCTCAAAATCCCAAGGACGTGACCCTAAATCCTGCCCCCAAAACTGGCAGCTCACTTTTTTGATTGGCTGCTCCGGCTGTTCTGGACCTGGCTGCGCTGTGAGTGGGCAGAGTCACTGCTGTGGGTGGGCGAGTGGGAGCTCTTCCCCAGGGCCTTCTGCCGACGCCCACGTTTTCCAGAGGACACTGAGGTGGACCTCCGCACGGCCCGACGTGCCTCATCCCCTGACGTGGCATCTGTCAGCCGCCCAGGGCTCCCGCCGCCTTCATTGCGGACTTTGCGCTGCTCCGGCTGTGGCGACTGCGGCCTCCGTCCGCTTGGCGAAGTGGGAATCACACTTATCTTCTGCGGGGAAGGAATACGAAACAAAAAAAAGAAAACAAAAAAACAAAAAGGGAAAAATCTGGCTTAGAAAAGTTCCAGGACAAATGACAGATCGCAAAGGTGCAGAACAAAACAAAATGAAACAAAAATGAAAAAAAAAAAACAAATGAAAAAGGAAAAACAAACAAAAAACGTAGTACCTAAAAGAAACCAGGATCTAGATTTGCTTGATAAGGCTTATTGACAGTCCTCTATGGTGCAGCCCATGCAATATTCGGCATGCAAAATTATAATGAGTTGAAGAAACAAAAAAAAAAAAAACAAACCAAAAGGAAGAAAATCAAAACAACACGTAAGAGGAGGAAACAAAAATAAATATCATGAGTCAAATTAGGTTTAATTGTAGAGAGAGTCAAAAGGAGAGAAGCAACATAACAAGAAGAGAGGGGTTTCATAAAGAGGAAACAGAGGACTTTCAGCTGTAGTAATGACTAAAAAAAGGGACGACTTGACAAAACATCACAGAAATGGAAGGAACAAAGTAAAAGATCCACAAATATAATAATCAATTGAAAAAAAAAAACAATCGTCTTTACTCAAAAGTATTTCTGTTTGTGTTTTTTTTTCCTGTGGAGATGTGAACAGCGACCCTTTCTGCTTTTATGGTTAACTGGTTTTTAACGCCCTTTTGGTTAACATCCACTTACCAATAAAGTGGCATTCCCTCCTTTAGTAGGTAAGGTATGAAGAGAAGGGAGAAGCGGGGCAACATAAGTGCATCATTAGAGATCACAAAATGCAAGAGAAAGACACAAAACCCTTCCTGCTAGTGATTCATGAACAATGTATGAAAAAGGAAGAAAAAACAGAACAAAAAACAACGGAAAAAAAATGTCACAATGTGTGTTAAATACCCTGAAATCAGAGCGTGGCGTAGGACACCAAGATGAACGTGCTGGACAAGGCCTTTCTTGCGGTTGGAGGAAGGCCTTGTTTACGTCCATGCTCCCCCCCATGGGCCCCCTGCCCAGTGAGCACCCCGCCAAGATGAAGGATCCGCACACACTCGTTCTTCACTGAACGTCGCGCCTCCAGAAATTGTTCATGGGTTCTTTACTATTTGTACTTGGACGGGAGCTGAGAATCTTGTTTGTTTGTGGCTGTTGCACATGAAGAAAAATGGCGAAAGTCATAATTCACATTCCGATGACTGGCTTGTGAAGGTAAACCATATGCATATGACATGTGTTTATAGACCTGCGTCCCTTGTGCACTGCATGCAGACCCACCAAGCCAGTGTGTGAGTGTGTGTTTCTCCACCTGTTTGCGTGTGGGTGTGTGCTATAAGTGTGTGCCGTGCGTCTGGCAGAACGGGGCGGGGGGTTTGTTACGTGGCACGTTATTTGTTCACGACACCATGTGGCCAAAAAAAATAAAATAATAAAACAAAGGGAAGATTGAGTTTTGCCTAAAAAGAAACCCCTCCCAATAAACTTGTGACCTTTTAGGTGAAAGTTTGGGGTGGGTGTTTTATTTTACATACAGTATATTATATTTTATATATAACCTGTTGCAGATAGGAGGCGCGCAAGCGACCGGTGTAACAAGTACGATTGTGGCAGGGCTGTCCACCAAGAGGGGAACAGCACAAACACATCAGGAAGGACATGATGACTGCATTATAAACAAACTGCAAGACCGCCACCTACAGCCAAGGTCATGTACTGCAGACAGCTGGTTTGGATATCCTTCCAAGGTCAACAGCATGAGGTATGGATTGGGAACACCTGGAAAATGCCCATTAAGTCATACAGGTGGGGCACTAGCATCACATGTGGGTTCCTATCTCTGCAGACTGACCCTTTATGTACTTCATGAACAGGAGTTGCTAACACCATCGCACTGGGCCAAGGGAGGATAGGGCATTGGTTAAAGCCTAGCAGTGAGTCAGTGACACTGTGTCTGTCCCTCAAAATACAGGGGATACGATACAGTGAGAGCAGGTCGCTGCACTCACTGCACACCTTACTAAACCCCCACGGCTCTGCAGAGTTGGGGAGTTCTTGCTGCAGGAATGCTCGGGTATAAAAGGTAGGGAAATTGGAAGGGGGATTTTGTGGGGCAGGATGGGCAGGAGGGGCAGGGCTGGGGTGAAGGGTGAGGGCCAGGGGGAGGCGCCGTTTCCACGTGTGAATAAACGGTCAAAGGTCATGAGCAGTGAACATTACGGACTCTCCAACCGATGCTTTGGTTGGGGGCCTGCAGGAGCAGCTGGAGTATCAGAGGGGGGTGTACAAGGGCTCATAACATGTCACTCAGCTGGTTTGGAAGAAAGACAACAACAGCAGCAACAAGTCTCCCCCCCCCCCAAAAAAAACAAAACAAAACAAAAACTCAGCTACAACTATGAGAAAACGAACAACCACCAATGTCCATGACACTCGTTTAGAAGGGCTATCGAGAAGAAACGAACAGAAAATCGACAAAAGATGAATATACCATTCGGCGTGGAACAGAGAGAAGCCAGACAGACTGGAAAGCATTCTATCAAATGAAAAAAAATGAAGGAGAGTGATGACTGAGAAGGGTATCTGAAGGGAGGACTGGAGAAGAAAAGAAACAAATCTATAAGTAAACTGGAGCCTTGAGAAATCAAATAACCGTAAGAATAAAGGAAGAGTAAAGAAAAACCACCGAAAAGCCTTAAAAAAAAACGATAGAAGGAAGATAGAGACATTGAAATCAAGCTCAAGTGGCTCACACTGGCATCTGCATAATGAGCGCGTGCGTTAGGCAAACCTCCACCTACCTTCACTTTCAATCAGAGGCACGTGAGCGACACGGAAAAAAGGAAAGGAAGAAAACAGAAAGGGGGGAAAAGAGGAAGGAAATATTCTCCGGCAGCGGAGAGCAAAAATAGGGAGAAGACAATGACTTCTTTAGTATTGTTGCTACTTACTGTCCTGAACTACAGAAAATAAACCAGCGAACGGTGCGAAAGGAAAACAAATAGAAAATGACTGAAGGAAAAAGAAATGAAGTATGACCCACTGCTCTTTCTCCCTCCAGGATGAATGCAGCCACAACGGTGGTTAGAGGAAGAAGAGGGTGGGGTGAAAGGAGGAGATGGAGCTGGGGAGGGATGCGGTGTGGAGACAAACAGGAAGGGCATGCGGGGTGGGGGGGGTGGCAACGGGAAGCCAGAGAAGTGAGTCACACACAACACAGATGGATGGGGGTCGCTGTCAGGATGGACTAGTGGACTTGAAAGGGACCCCAGCCATGTCTTTGGAGGTTCTGCTTAAAAAACGACCCACTGGCCAGATTAACCCATAATGCTCTCTGCTACAATGGGCATATGGACCCCTCAGCCAAATGCTGCTTGTCTGTATCTCATTTTCAAATCAGATATGATCCAAAGAGGCTGGAGCCCCAACGCGTAAATAAAGTTTCATATAAAGTGTGCTGGGTCATACATCATTGCTGTGTGGTTGCAGTGTGTTACAGTACGTAAACGCTAAAGCCTCACAGCCAGTGACAGCTAAGAGCAGGAGGTAAGATGGGCCACAAAAGCTCTGCCCAGGCCTCCACCCACTTCCGGTCTGTTCCGTCACTTGCATGCCTGAGCCAAGAAGGATTGGGGTGTTTGCGGGTGAACGGAACAAAAACACCAAATGGCTGGGAAGTGGGCTGAGAGCCACTGCTCAAGCTGCTGGATGCGGCTGGCCAATGGAGCCCAACAAACCAAACATGTGGGATTGACTAGAACAGATGTGGCTGTTTAGACAGGAACACCACTGTTTTTACCGAAAGTATACAAATGTAAAGAGTGTACATCAGAGTAATTATCACCAGTGGTGTGTTTGTTATGCCTATTGTACTTGTCCCAGTTTGCCTAGTGACCTTTGGACTGGGGGCTATATCCATATAGGCTATTGGATTAGGGGCTGTATCCATATTGACTATTGCACCTGGGGTTGTATCCATACAGACCATTAGATTGGAGGTTGCACACATATAGACCATTGGATTGGGGGCTATATCTATGTGGACCATTAGATTGAGGGCTGTATCCATATAGACTATTGCTTTGGGGGCTGTATCCATGTAGACCATTAGATTGAGGTCTGTATCCATATAGATTATTGCTTTGGGGGCTGTATCCATAAAGACCATTAGACTGGAGGTTGCAATCATATAGACCATGGGATTGGGGGTTGTATCTATATAGACCTTTGCTTTGGGGGTTGTATCCCTATAGATCATTAGGTTGGGGGCTGTATCCATATAGACTATTGGACCAGGGGTTGTATCCATATAGATCATTAGACTGGGGGCTGCATCGATATAGACTATTGGTTTGGGGGCTATATCCACATAGACAATTAGATTGGAGTTTGCACTCATACAGATCATTGAATTAGGGGTTGTAACCATATAGACTATTAGGAGATGTATCTTTATGGACTTTTTGTTTGCTGTTGTTAGTAAGAACACCTATGTGAATTTATGATGAAATGTATAAGTATATAGATAAATATAAAATAGTCAACAACAATGGACAGTCTGACAGAAGTGATACTGCCAACTAGAGGCAACATGCAAGTCGAAATGATACAGGAAAAATAAATGAAAGAGTGAAGATTTGTTCGACACCTGATAACTTTAGGCTCTTTTCAGAGAGTCAGGGGGGGCGGGCAAACCAATTGCTTCAAAGACAGCTGTATAACAAGAAAACTAGTTCACATACCCATGAACCTCTCGTTCCGAAACACGAGTGCTTTTTACATAAACGAGACAAAGAAGTTTGAATATTTATTGGCAAATACAACTCAAAAAACAAACAGGAAGAACAGGAGCAAGAGCAAAGGAAGAGGAATGGATGAAGAGGACAAGAAGAAGCAAAGACACCTCGGGATAAACATGCAGGCTGGAAGGGCCTCAAAGCTGAGTCTCACTCGTTAGGATCCTCTTGCAGAGAGAAAACCTTCTGCAAGCGACATTTCACAGATTCTCCTACAGCCACGTTTATGGGAATGAAACATCAACGCCGAATGGGTGGTTCTTAAATTCCGCACTGGAAAGCCAGTTGCCGGAGCGGCGAGTTCTTGTAGAACTTGGTAATGATTTCAATGTTACACTATGTTCCTGACTGACACTGAGAGCCAAAGGCACCTTTGGGGGAGCGTGCCTAACATAATGAAGACGGAGATGAAGAGGAGTGGCTTGCTGATTGCTTGATAGCACTCAGAGCGGCCCGTCAAGCACATCGAGGTCATGACCTGGGCCATCACTAGTGAGCCCTGCCCCCCACCCAGCGAACACGTCTATGTGCATGAGCAGCTCCGATAGGCACTGCAAGCCCCTTTCAAGGAAGTTTGACCCCTGCAGTACCTGGACCACGACGGCCATGCTGAGTTCCCACAGTGGTCCCTTCTGTCAACAGCCTTTGAAACCCATTCAACTAACAGCGATTCCAATGAGCGATGCAGTGCAGAGACATGATGGAGATCGTGAGCCAGAGGGTGCGTTGCTCACCAGATTCTAGGCATGTGCTTCCATCTCATCTGTCACTTAATTTAACTAGACCTGTTACATCCAGCTGTTCTTTGTCATAGGTCAACCTTACTTGACCTGGTCTAGTCTCTTATGGAATTTTCTATTTTTCTGTTGTTACGGGCTCTTCACCCTTCCCAAAGCTTGAAACAGTACCTGATTTGATGATGCTAAGATTCGCATTTCCAGTAAGAAGCCCGTGAGGTTACAGGGTCCTTTGTCGGATTTGAATGATGGTTCCTGTTAAACAGTGAGCAAATCACTCACCAGGGGCATGGCCACGGGAAGTGACTGTCTGTCACTCCTCCCTGCTTTCTGCCTGAGCCTACTCCTCATTGCTTTGAAAAACAGCAGTTTCTAATTAATCAAGTAGTACTCAGAGTTCTGGCTCCAGCAATGGGTTCCCAGGCCAATCCCTCCCATCTGCAATTTGAGGCTGCATAGCAGCCTTAAAAGGAAAATGCTTCAGATCCTACCCAGGTAGTTTCCCTGGCTGTTTCATTTTTATGTTAACATCTGTGAAGCTGGAGCCTTAGCCTTCACTTTTATTATTCATTTCCACTACTCTGATTGAAGAATCTTCCAGACAACTGCTGCAGGAGGATATGAGAGCTGCCTATTGATTAGCTACCAGAACCACATCTCTCAGTACAACTGCTCAGTGGGCCCACCGGTCAAAAACGAAGGGGACTTCTTAGTTGCTTGGAAGGAGAGATCTAAGCTCCCCCAGCGATGACCGCCCTGCTGCCAGAGTGACAAAGTAAAACGAGATGATAGGTGAATTGAGGGGTGCGCAAAAAACAAACAGAATGCACGACTTTCACGGCCGAAGGAGGGTGGAAAAATATCTACCCGACGAGCTACTCTCGAAATAAACTCCAGAAGGGAATGCTGAAACAAAACCGAATAAGGCGAAAAAAAAAAAAAAGAGATAGGACTGGATAAGAGAGTCAAGTCAGTACAGAAGCAGTTAAGGAAGAAACCAATAAAGAGGAGGAAAGAGGGGAAGGCGAAATAGAAGAGACTACATACATCCTGCAGAGGGTCTCCAGCCGTGTGGTCAGGCCCGCTGCCCTTGCCGTTGCGGTGTCCATTCTGCCGGACAGAGGAGTTGGTGCCGCATGATGGTGACAGAGACACGCTGCGGCTGGACTGGCTGGGGCGGGGCTTGTGTGAGTCAGCTCCATGCTTCGAATTCGTCCTGGCATGGGAAAGAAAGCAGTGAACACCAAAGGGGGGAGAAGGACAGCTCACTGCAGACGCATCTGTTAGAGGGGGCAGCTCAATCAAGAGCTTGCCGGCTATCGAGAGTTCAACCCTTATGAAAGCGCCAAGTCCTTCCCTTTCTGAAAGTTGCCAGTTTAAATGCGGCCGCTACGTAACTTTACACTTCGCCTCTCCCACAAGGAGATATTACAGTAAGGCCACATTTAGAGGAAGCACTACACCCCCAAAGAGCCATCATTAGGGTCAAGCACCCTATTTCGTGGTGCAGTGGAGCACCGGGGAGCCATGCGGATGAGATCCTCCCCCAAGGAATGCTAGGAGTGCAAGACCAAGGGAGACCTGGGGGCAGTATGGAGAACACTTAGACCACACCGCCCTCGAACCTGAGAACACTTACCCCATGCCGTCCTCGGACCTGAGAACACTTAGACCACGCCGCCCTCGGACCTGAGAACACTTAAACCACACTGCCCTCGGACCTGAGAACACTTACCCCATGCCATCCTCAGACCTGAGAATACTTAGACCCCCCCATCCTCGGACCTGAGAACACTTAAACCACGCCGCCCTCGGACCTGAGAACACTTACCCCATGCCGTCCTCAGACCTGAGAACACTTAGACCCCACCGTCCTCGGACCTGAGAACACTTAAACCACGCCGCCCTCGGACCTGAGAACACTTACACCACGCCTCTTAGACCACACCACCCTCGGACCTGAGAACACGTAGACCCCACCGTCCTCGGACCTGAGGACACTTAAACCATGCCTCTTAAACCACGCCGCCCTCGGACCTGAGAGCACTTAAACCACACCGCCCTCGGATCTGAGAACACTCACACCATGCTGCACTGGGATCTATAGCGGTCGGCCCTGTACTGCTGATGGTTTGAGGCCACGTTCTCTTGGGGAGGCACGGGGAACATAAAGCAACACTCTGCCAGGGCTGGTGATCGAAACGTCAGTGACTTATGTCACAGGAAAAGTTATCTAAATTTTAATGATGAATGAAAGAGAGGTGTGATAAAATAGCAACTTCATATCTTTGAGCTTGGAAGTGAATGCTGAAAAAACAAGGTTTAATTTCTCAGTTTAGAATATTCTGGCAGAAGAGGCAAAATATCTTTGCTTTCAATTTATATGAGAGATATGGCAGATCTATTTAACACTGGGACTGAACTTTAAGTGAACAGGGGTTGAGACACCTAACCTAATCATGGGCGTTCTTAATTAGAGAAAGGTACCCCAGAGGAGGGTCGGCTTAGCTCTCCATTCTTAGAATAGACCCCAGGTTGACTGGGATTACTGCAGTTCCCAGGAGCTGAGTGGAGGTATATGTGTGTAAAATAGGCCAAAAGCCCTCTGGATTGGTCATGTTATCGCTTCTGTTTAAGGCAGCTCTTTATAGTTGGGCAGCTGCTCCCTTCAGGAGATGTTCTGTAATTTTAATGTAGCCCTTAAATTTACAATTGACTCATTGGCCTGAGATGAGTTTCTGTCCTGCTGTTCTCCCAGTTTCATCTGGGCACCACCGCACTTCTGGCGCTCACACAGCCATAAGCATGTTAGCATGTATGTAGCTCTGGTTTTGCAGATTCAGGTGAGATTCCAGGTGTGCGTTACTGTCCACGGCCTCCTTGGGGCTCGGCTACAGCTGGAATCGTCCGTCACGAGTCAGACGGATGAGGCGGAACCAAGATTAGGTAATAAGGTAGTAAGAACCATACCTCCCGGGGGATCTGGAGAGGCTCCCGGTGGAGGAGATGGAGGCACTGCGGGAGCTGCAGCTTCCCCGTCGATGTGACCTCCTGCCAGGCGAGTCCACCGGGGACCTGCGGGCAGAAAGAGCCGCTTCGGTGACACTGGCTCCTCGTGGCTTTCTGGAAATTAGACCCCGACACCTGCCCCTTATCCCGCTTTCGTTTAGACTGGAAGGCAGATCTTGGGCTACAGCGATGGTTGTGAACATACGGCATGCACCTGATGGGGATTTACCTGGGGCGTGTAACAGCCCCCCCCCCCCCACACAGAGCCATACAGATACAAAGCTTCCGTTTTGGCTTGGCTGACTGTGCGGCAGAGAGATGAGCAAGGGCACAGGATCTCATGGTCCCAAGTGGACGGTCGTCCTTACCTCCTCCGTTGTTTGTTCTTGTCTTTGTGTTTGCTCTTTGGGCTTCCAGATCTGACAAGCGAACAGTTAACAGGAAATCAGGGGCGTCTGTTTTGAAATATCTGCACTGAGATCGGCTATGTAACGTGCTGGCTTATGGATGTGGTTATATGGTCTCTCCGTAGCCAAGAAATCACATATATAAATGACAGCTCTCAAAACCGTGACCTTTGGGTCAAAAAAAAAACTGGATGGAACTGGGCAATGGGGATTGGAGGCAGGGAGCAGATGGATATGCTGAAGATGCCCCCTACAGGGCTGGTTCTGCAGCTGCTGCGTGCTCCAGATCCATGCCCACTCACACACTCACCTGTACCTTCTCTTCTTCCTGGACCCAGACGCAGATCTGTGAAGAGGAGCAGAGTGAATAGTTACCCACCCAGTGCGGCGACGCGCTGTAGACCACCAGCTGACAGGCCCATATGGAAGGAAATGTCTACGGAGATGGCTCAAGTAAAGCAGGGCCCCCTCCTGGGGATTTCATTGGTAAGAGCTTGTTAGGGACTCTATCAGAGCTGCTATCCTTCCTGCTGTCCCATCCTACGAGGCCAGCTTCTGTCCAGGGTACTGTACACCTCCATGCTGCTTCTTTCCAAGCCCTGGTTCTGACTGGGAGTGGGTGGCTTTCCAAAGCTTACTGTCACGGGTTCCGCCACCTGCCCCCCCCCCCCCCCCCTCCCGTGTTGGGACACCAAGCCCCAGAATAGCTCAATACATCTTATGTTTGCTCAAGAATGAAGAGGAAAATGAAAAGAGGGCAAGAAGCAAACATGTCAAGGTAATACAGCACATATAACAGAAGTCGCAAAGCCACCCTTAGGATAAATCTGCAGGAAACAACCAAAATCTACTTGTGACTTGTTTTCCTGATACCCTTAATGCGGAAGTTAACCCCTAGGAACCTCGGTCCTATATTTAACAAGTTCCTGAGGGTCGAGACTCTCCGTGACCCCGATGACTCTCCGTGACCCTGAAGACTCTCACTGTCCCCTAAGCCTCTCCGTGACCCCGAAGACTCTCCGTGACCTCGAAGACTCTCCCTGTCCCCAATGACTCTCCGTGACCCCGATGACTCTCCGTGACCCCGAAAACTCTCCATGACCCTGAAGACTCTCACTGTCCCCTAAGCCTCTCCGTGATCCCGATGACTCTCCGTGATCCCGATGACTCTCCCTGTCCCCGATGACTCTCAATGTCCCCAATGACTCTCCGTGATCCCGATGACTCTCCGTGACCCCGATGACTCTCTCTGTCCCAATGACATTCTCTGTCCCCCACTGACTTTCCCCGTTGTCCAACAGTCTCTACCACCCACGACTTTTCCAGTCCCTCCACTACCTCCCCACTCTGACATTTTCTACCCCCTATCTACTTTTCCAGTCGCACACTGACTTTCCCAGTCCTCCATGAATTTCCCCGTTGTCCACTGACATTTTCTACCAGCCATGACTTTCCCAGTCCTTCCACTACCTCCCCCCACTAACATTTCCTACCCCCTACCTACTTCCCACAGTCCTCCATGAATTTCCCCGTTGTCCACTGACATTTTCTACCACCCACGACTTTCCCAATCCTTCCACTAACTTTTTCCTGTGGCTAACTCACATTTTCTTATTCCGCACCAACTATCTCTGTCCCCCAATGATTTTCCCTGTCCTTCGTCAACTGTCAATGATCCCCCATGACTTTCTCTGTCCCCCAGAACATCCTTCATTCCCCACTCCTACTCCGCCTGCCACCCACTAACTTTCCAAAACGACGACTTTCCTTGCTCTCCAGTTAGCGTTTCGAGACCTCTGATCATTACACTATTCAGAGACGAAGCAGTAAGCAAGCTCACAGATTGCAGAGACCCGGTCACAGTCAGCAGGACATTCCTGGGGGTAGCAGTATGTAGCAAAGGGTGGGGCGATGATAACAGCCTGCATGCACCCCCCTGCACGGTCATACATTATTCAATGTTAACCATGTGCGAGGCCGGTATCTGCAATGCAGCTGACACTCCTGGAGATAATGGAGGAATGTACAAGGAGAGACGGGGAGACTGGATAGTGACAGAAGATGTTTCGGGCTGGAGGAACACTGCTCTCCCACTCACTGGCTTGGCTCAGTTCGTAATATAGATGAGCTAATTCCTTGGCGAGCTGGGGCCTGAGCGGACATCACTGTTGTAAGACACCTACAGCTCCTGTCCTGTGGGCCTCGCTTACATTTTAGTACCAATATTAGGCTTTCGCAGACATGGAAATAAAACTGGCTAAATTTGGTATAAAAATTACATAATTTATAAGTAAAAGATGGAAGTGCTTTGTAAGTGTACAAAGGGTATTGTGGTTTTCACCATCTGGCTTAATGATTGTTTTCTCAGCAGTACAGCAACTGAGAAATATGCATTCATTAAACTCCTGAAAGTTAAAGGGTCGATTTTTTCTTGTAGTTTACCTCCTTCGATGCTTAACAGACAACAGCTGTTTTGAGCTGATGCCTGTTTTCATGAATATGGATGTCGTCTGGGCCGCGGCACCGGCTCCCATAAGCGCCGTATGACTGCGCCACATTCGTATTTCAAGATGCTCCTGATGGCGCATGACTGGCCACATGAAGATCTTACCTCGTTTACGGCTGAAGGGCCACTGAGAACACCTGGTGAGGGTGGGGGTACTGTACAGTTCACCATGCTTACACCACGCCACCTCCAGGTCTGAGAATCTTTACACCACGACGCCCCCTAGCCAAAAAAATTGGTTACATTGTTTACGCTATGTCTCCCTCGAACCAGAAAATGCTAACACCACACCATCCTCAGATCTGAGAACCTTTACACCATTCCTCCCTCAGGCAGAAGAATGCTTAGACCACACCACCCTTGGACCTGAGAACACTTACGCCATGCTGCCCTCGGCCCTGAGAACTTTTATACCACACTGCCCTCGGCCCTGAGAACTTTTATACCACACTGCCCTCGGCCCTGAGAACTTTTATACCACACTGCCCTCGGCCCTGAGAACTTTTATATCACCCTCGGCCCTGAGAACTTTTACACCATATCGCTCACAGACCTGAGAACTTTTATACCATGCCACGCTAGGCCCGGAGAGCTTTTACACCATGCCACCCACGGAATGAAGATCTTTACACGAAGCCATCCTCGGGGCCTGAGAACACCACACAGTCCCCACCATGAGAACGCTCATGCCACGCCGCCGTTGGGCCAGAGAAGGCTTACGCCAAGCTGCCCTCGAGCCTGAGAATGCTCATGCCAAGACACCATGGCCACAAAGAGCCCTTATGCCATGCTGTCCTTGGACTTGTACTCAGCTGCTTCATGTGATTGTGAGGTCATGTGACTGTTAGACGGGGCAACAGCGTGTCGTTTTTATACAGAGGAAGATTCCTGCAGCTATTGAACAACTTGCGTGAAAAATGAGGAGCTGAACAGTGCCTCCTGAAACCAGCGGGGGCGGGCGTGTACCTGTCTCGCTTGTGCTTCTTCCTGCTCTTCTTCTTCTTCTCCTTGCGAGGGGGGGATGAGCTGTCAAACCTGCAGAGGGGAGAACAGAGGCTGGCTCAAAGTGGGCTGCTTTCCCGATGCCACTCCTGCCCGTTCCATAACGGCACGGCAGGTCTGTGAAGCTTAGGCCATCGTACGCCGGAAAAGTCTCCAGCGGGTTATAAGAACCTCGGACTCACCCTGCCCTCTCTGGAGGACATTTTCAGAACCCGATGCCTCCGTAGAGCTATTAACTCCGCGAAAGATACAACCCACCCCTGTCATCTTCTGTTTACTGTCTTACCTTCTGGGAGGTGCTACAGAGCTCTCAAAGTCCGCACCTCTAGATTTAAGGACAGCGTTTTTCCAAGGACCATAACTGAGCTGAATAGATCTAAACACTGCCCCCCACTGTGTTACATTCAGCTGCAGTAAATATGCAATAATGGGACAATTAGTGAAATAAAACATAGGAGACGCTTTTATTCTCATTAATGCTTTAGATGTTGGTTTTTATGTATTTGTTACATGTGTAGGTATGTATGTGTGTATATGTGTGTACATGTGTAGGTTACTTTTATTCAGGCTTGGCACAGAAGAAATTCTGTTGTACTTCGGTACAATGGCAATAATGTCTATCTGTCTGTCTATCTGTTTGGCTCTCAACTCTGTGTTTAATTGCTGCCCATGAACCAGGAGGCCTCATTTACACCCACGGGTGCTTGAGTCAATATCAAGTCCCTTCTTATCCCTGCCGGCTGGTGCCTTCCTCTCCTTGTTATCGCCACTCCATGTTCCTTCATTTGCTTGCTGACTTTGGACTATAACCAGTGAACCCCAGGCATGTTTCTGCACCATCCGGCCCTCAGGGCACGGAGCCCCATCCCCCCCGCCCCCGCACCAGCAATGCTGTTAACAGAAACCTCTCTCTAGCGGGACACTAAAAGACCTGTCCGCTGACCCAAGGTGGTTGCCGTAGCAACACTGAGATCATCTGCAATCTCACATAATACTTCATCTGATATTTTCCCCATAGTCTAATGCCACAATTAGACTAACAAAATACACACATATTTTTTGTTCATCGCACCACTCTCTGTAAAGTCCAGACACTGTAGTGTGTGAAAATCCCAGATGGGCGACTGTTTCTCAGATGCTGGAAGCACCACATACAGCACCAACAAAAACATGTTCAAAATGGCACGAATAAGGCACCTTGGCCCTTCGAACAGTGACTGAACCTCCTGAAGCCACCTCTGCGTGTCTGTATGTATTCAGGTACAGCCATATGATTGGCTGTTTGGAGCAGCAGGTCTACTCAATAACGTGGCCACTGACTGTAAATAGCTAATTATAGTTTTTCATATACTGATAATAGCGTATATCTCTGTATACATAGTCAAGATTTGGGTTTATGTTTTTCTGATCCCTTTACACCTCTGCAGCAAACTTCTGGCAGAGCAGGAAGACGTCCGGGAGAGACACACCGACTGCGACGGTGGCCAGATTTCTTCTTCTTCCTCTTCTTAGGGGGTGGGGATGGAGAGCTGCTCAATTTCCTCTTCATCCTAGATCACATGAAGTTAAAATGAGGGGGTTAATCGATTCATTCCCACAGCGAGTTAAAGGGAGTTAAAATCACCCATATTAAAATTCACAGCCCGTCGACACACAAGGTTCTCAATTATTCATACATGGATAAAACACGTCTTCAAGAAGCCAGAACTGCAGAATTGTATTTTATGTTTGGTAAAAATGCAGTAATAATAAATAAGAAATAAACTGCCCAATAGGCTGAGGATATTGCACTGGTTCACCTCGGTCTGTAACCACGGACATCAGCATTTATACTGCAGAACTGCGAGCTGAACAGAGGGAGAGAATGAGGTCTCGTTCTGTCCCCCCCCACCCGCGCGAGTCTGCAAGGCTTGCCTGTAGTTGCCGTGGCCGACGGAATCCCCGTCACCGTAGTAGTCGCCATGGCAATCGCACTCCGGCGCGTAACCCTCGGCCAGCGAGTCTTCGTCGTTGTCGTCGCGCTCTTCCTCGCAGCTGTGTGGTGTGTGGTTCACACTGCAAAGGATGGTTAACATCTTTTAAAAAATACTAAATTAAATAACGTTACACTAACACGTAAAATTATTCAAGGGTCATGTGACCGACCGGGGTACAGGAGGCGCATTTAGCAGGATGTAGATTTGGCCTTTTTTCTTTTCCTAATCCGTATATGGCAGGGCTCGCTCTGCCCCCCCATGGCAGCCCCCCCACAGCAGCCCCTGTCCCCTGCTGTGGATGTCCGCAGATGGCATGTTTATATGACTCTAATCCAGCCACCGCAGATGCTCTGTGAGTCCCTCTCATCTAGCCTGTCTGTGTGGCAGGCTGGGGATTAGCACATGGCCGGCCTTCAATCACTGGCCTCCTTCCGTGTGTGAACCGGGCCTGATCCCTTGGAAAATGGGGGGGGGACGCTTGTGAAAGGAGCAGTGCCAGCCTTGTGGGTCACACCATGGGACATGCCACTTTGAAGCACTTACCACCACAAGGCTGGGAGCTCCCTCGCGACTGCTGGATGGGGGGGGGGGGTGATAGCCAATTAAGTAAGCCTTGTAAAATAACAGCATGAAAATGGGGGTCACATGGGCGATCAGTTGTTGGGAAAAACGAGAATCCGGAATGGGAAGCTGGGGCGGAGATTGCGGCAGCACCACAGAGTCCATCTCCGCCGACTTTCTGAGATTCACCACTGAGTAAAAACATGAATCTGTAGAAGCTTGGTGCAGGAAACTCATTTTTCTTTAATCAGTCATGGTGCATAACTACTTATTTGATTGGTCATTTCAGAGGTGGTGGCTTGTGAGCGTGGCTTAATGCACAGGGGTTTCAAAAACCAGTGCAAGAATCGCCTCCCATAGTAATTATTCCATGGAAAATCCCCATCTCCCACTTCACACATGAATGGCAGTGAAAACCTACAGCAAATGGGGACATTCAGGAGCAACCCCCACAACCATAACTGCTAGGTGGAGCCTGTGGACTCATGAAACCCCCCCCCGGAACAGCAGAAGCTCCAAAGAAAGTACAAGGTAAGGCGAAAAGAGCAAGGCTGTAACCCACAAACCCGACCACAGGTGATCAGGGAGGGTGTCTCCCGTATGCAGAGAAGGGACCTGAACGGCTGAAGGCACCTGCCCTTGGTTCCATAGATGATAGATGGTCTCTAGGGCTGCAACGATTCATCGAGTAACTCGAATAACTCGATTACAAAAAATCCTCGATGCAAATTCTTTGCTTCGATGCTTCGTGTAAACCGCACGACTAAGTGCTGCTTAGTGATCAGCGTGTTTCACTCGGAGGATTATTACTGCTGCACAGTGTGCTTACGCTGGATTACGTGTAGCAGGTTTGATTTGATGGCGCGATGGAGGAAGACGGGGAAAATAGTGAGTAAAGTCAGAGAAAAAAGAAGAAAAATGTCTAAAGTTTGGGATCATTTCAAACAAAAGAAAAGCGAAAATACTGTACAGTGTGTCCATTGTAAAACCGAATTAGCTTACCACAATAGCACACCGTCAATGATTCAACATCTCAACAGAAAGCACCCAGTCTATGCATCCAGTCCACAGAGCGGAACCAGTACAAGGTAAGCGCGAGCGTTTCACTCACATTTGTGGCTAAAAATAGACCTGCGAAAGAAACATATTTATGGGCATATGTGTGAATAAAAAAATATAACAAGATTCAGCCAAAGCAGCCCCTATTTTTGCTCAACAAAAACACTGATAACACAACAGCAGTGAAAATGATGCTGTCGTACTTTAATTAACATGGAGCTGGAGCCTGTCTATACACTAACAGCAAAGAGCAAAGAGATGGTTCCGTTACAGAGATGGTGAACTCAGGTGGAGTGAAGGAAAACAACAACAGCGCTTGTAATCGCCACTAAACCTTTACTGTTCAACCTTTACTGTACAAACCAGCTGTTGAACAAGCTGAAAGGTGAAGAAAAGAGATGCTTTCAGCTGCTCCCATCCACCGCTTTTTGTCTCCCACAGCAGCAAGGCTACAGTAAAGCTATACAAGTTAAAATAGAAGCTGTTTGTATGCAGATAGACTGTTTGCTTAGTTTGACACAATATTTAAATTTGGTAACTTGCAGCAGGCTGACAGCAGCCGTCACACTTTGTCGCTCGCAGTGATACCTGCAGCATGCAGGGGTGAGTCTAAAGTGGAGCGTGGGGTGTATGTACTCAGCTAGATCTACTTCAAGGCTTTAGTAATATTATTTTGCAGATTTAGATTAATATGAAGAATATTACATAATTATAATAAGATAAATATAAAAATTACGCACCCCCCTCCCCCAACAGCCTTGTGCCAGTAAAACTCTGAGACAGTAAATTATCCAACCACCACATGCTCCTTTAAAGGCTTATACACACACACACACACACACACACACAAACACTCGTTCTCTAACACATTTAAACACACACACTCTCACTCACATTCACTTACACACACATGAACATGTACGCACCATTCCTACCTCAGGAAGATAAACCTCAGGAGATACAATCCTGTCAGAACTTCTTTTTATGCCTCCTATTAATGTACAAGAATACAGAGAATAAAGGCCATTTTAATTTATGGCTTAGTTTAAGATATATTTATACTTTTTTTCAGTAATTTTATTTGACATTATTTGATTTATTTTTGCATTTAAGTGTTTTCTTTAAAAAAAAAACAAAACAAAACAAATATGTACATAAATGCACTAAAAGGGTTTAGTTCTTGCATCTACTACTACGTCTGTACACTACTGGCTATTGCAGAATGCTGTCTGCACTGCAAACGTAATGTCTGTATATGTCTGTATATGTCTGTATATGTCTGCACTTTAGACGTGGCCACTGCAATTCCGTTGTACAAGCAGCATCCGTGCTCCAGTACAATGACAATAAAAGGTTTTCTATTTCTATTTTTATTTCTATTTCTTTCATCAGTTGTTGTATGGAGTTCAATCATTAAAAATGTTCCTAAAAAGGAAACCCATGAGTTTTAAGATTTTAAGAGACCTGTCTATTTTTTCTTTTTTGAATAGTTACTATTGCTCTTTAATAAGACAAAAGTATGTCTTATCCGATTACTCGATTAATCGATGGAATAATCGATAGAATATACGAATACTAAAATAATGGATAGCTGCAGCCCTAATGGTCACCCAACCAGCCCCTCAACAACGGCCAAACGTCTGCAGTGAAGGAGCCGCCTGCCCCCATTCTGTAAACCAAACATTAATGAAGCTCCCCTCCTGTGCCTGGGGGCTCTAAGATCTTACATCCCATTCCTGTCCATGACAGAGACGCTACCGTCAAGCACGGCTGAGAAATACACTCATGTCAATCATATCACCACTACGACGTATACTACCTGCATTCACACTGCGGCCGGCTGGCTGATGCAAAACTCTGTATGTGCCTTGCAAGCTGATTCAACGTAGCCTTTGCGTGAGTGTGACGCGCAAAAGCATCGATTTTACCAAAAACTGCAGAAAGGCTTAACTTCACAAAGACAGACCGGTAGACCAACAAAACAAGGCATCGTCATGGAGGGCTGACCATCAGAACTGCGTGGGTTTGAATGGCAGAAGCAAAGTGTAAAACAGCTAGGTACAATTTCACAAGGGGCATGGCTGGCCCACAAACTGAAACCTAACCCCAATGAGCAGGGACTTAAAAGACCAGCCCACATGTGACGTGAGAAGCTGCCTGTGTACAGCACTATCCTACTGTAAAAGTACAGGATACGCACTCCTTTATTCTTTCATATATTCATAGTTTGGATGGGGAGTCATTGCCCACTTACGAGGAGAACCCTGCACACCTAGCAGAACACCTAGCAGAGCGAAATGTCAAGGTGCTGCTGGTGAATGTGAGCCAGACCAGACCGGTGCTGCTGCCATCCCGAGAACGGGCCTCGGGCAGTGCTGCAGTAACGGGTCACTGCCGGGGCTGACCAGTGCTCATTAACTGCAAACAGCAGGATCACCGTTCAGATTCCTGTTTTTCTGTTGTCATTCAGTAGCCAGGACCAAGAGGGGAGCCTCCTACATGCTCATTTACCTGCACAGAAGAGCCCAGGTGGGGATCCCAGCTACACCAATCAATCATTGTTTCCTTGGCAAAATTGGGCAAGAAAAATTACAAACAGGCCGAAAATTACCCTTTTTTAGATTGAGGGCCTTGCTGTCATTCCTCATTGGCTGGTACATGCTTCCTCAGCTGGTACATGCATTACTTATTGGCTGGTACATGCTCCTTCAGCTAGTACATTAATTCCATATTGGCTGGTACATGCTTGTTCAGCTGGTACATGCATTCCTTATTGGCTGGTACATGCCCACTCAGCTAGTACATGCATTCCTTATTGGCTGGTACATGCTCGCTCAGCTGGCCTTGCTATGTATTTTCACTGCAGTTACCAAAATGCAAGCCAGTCCCCATGTCTGTAGGGGCCATCATGTAAAAACAGTTTAAAGTGCATAGGATGGGGTTGGTTTCTCCAGCAAAATTCACCCCTCAAATCTTTCCCCAAGATTTTTGGTGGTAACTAACTTAACTCCAGTACTGCTGCTAAGCTTTTCAATCAAACCACTAGACTAAAAAGACAATAACAAAAAATACTGCTGAACACCATGCTAGTCTTACCAGCCTCGTAAATTAATAGAAAAGCAAGATAGAGCCTCTTTCTGTTACAAAAAATACAAATTAATCCGTGCAGAAAAGGTAGTTATCTAAAAAAACATGACTATTGTAACAAACTTGAAGATTTCATCATAATCTGAAATCACAGGCAGTGAACCAAACGACTCATCTCAATCAGATCCTTTTCATAAGTAAATCTGCTACCGTTGAATAATGACTAGCCAAAGGCTGATTTAAACGCAGTGCACAGGAAGTGGTATTTTTACCATGACCATCAAAGCAGATGGGTTGAAAATGTCACGCTGCAGCCGCGACTTCTCCCGTGGCATCGCAGTGACATCACCTCCGTCGTGTACGCCATCGCAG